TCCGCTTCGGTCACCCAGTCCCATCTGGGAGGCCCCCGGGGGCTGCTGGTCCAGCTACGCTAGGAGATGCGGCCACTGCGCGCCGGGAGCCTCTAAATCCCAAATTGCTCCAGATTAAACCCAGGAATCACGAAACGTGGGGTCTGGCCCCCACCTGCTTGCCTTACTTGGGGGTAGGTTCTCCAAAATGGGGCTGGGGGTGTTTTCCTCACCACGCTTTCCCCACCCTCCCGCTGCAGAGCTGCCAAATAAATACAGGGGCTCCTGTGCTTCGGGCGAGTGCGCTGCGTTGCAGGGGGGACATCTGAGGGGCATCAGGGCTGGGGAGAAAAATTATATTAAAAAAAAAAAAGGAAAGATGGAAAAAAATCAGGAGGAAGGCTTCCTGGGTTCGGCACGGTGTGTTTGGTTGAGCGCCGGGAGCTGGGGGGGCAACCGGACCCCGGGCCGGTGCCTGCGGTGCTGCGCTCGCCGCTGGTGTTCCTGATGCTGGAAGGGGTTTTTTATATATATATAAAAAAATACTTTCTTCTCCCCGTGGGTGTGTTTTGAAAAGGGGCTTGGGAACAATGAGGATTAACAAGCAGATAGAGAATTAAATGCAGGGTTTGAGTCTTCAAATGTGTGCACATTTCAGAGCGCGTGTTTGTGCCAAGATAAACTCCGTCAGGAATAAACATCGTTTTACATGAAAGGCTAATTACAGATTGGCGCTCCGCGGGCGGGAGGAGGGAATTTTCACCAATTAAAATGGAACTTTTCTGTTTTTCATGAAATTGCTGGATTAAAACGCAGCCAGGGGCTGGTGAGGTGTTTGACGGTACCGTTGAAGGAGGGGATGCTCCCCCCCGGGACGTGCTTTTTCCCCCCGTACTAAAGGGGTTACGCCAGTTCACTCGGGCAGGGGCTGCGTGAGGGCACCGGTTTTGCCCAAGAGTGGTTGAACCCCAAGAGCTGCCCTCCGGGCGTGCAGCCCCGGGTTCTCACCCGGGGAGATGGGACATGGGCAAACTTGGTCCAACTTGGAGTCGCCCAACATTAGGAGAGATTGGGGTAGCAAGATCTTCAGCCTCCTCGAACCCGGGGAGATGGGACATGGGCAAACTTGGTCCAACTTGGAGTCGCCCAACATTAGGAGAGATTGGGGTAGCAAGATCTTCAGCCTCCTCGAACCCGGGGAGATGGGACATGGGCAAACTTGGTCCAACTTGGAGTCGCCCAACATTAGGAGAGATTGGGGTAGCAAGATCTTCAGCCTCCTCGAGGGTGTAGGTCATGGAAAGACATCTGGATGGGACGTGGTGGATGGGAGCTCGTGTTGAGATGAAGTTGTTGCGACCGTAGCTCCTATTTGTTGGGTAACAATGTTAGCGTGTGGTAGGTGAATCATCTCTCAAAAATTGTAAGCCAGAAGGTGACGCGGAGAAGAAAAACCTTCCTAGCCTGCTGAGGGGAGCGCTGGGGAGAAAAATCTGGCCTGGGCACATGGGGGGTTTCAGCTGCAGAGCACATGCTGCCTTGTTGCTTTTGGATGGATTTCGTAAGAATTTGTATTTCTGGACCAGCTCTGGAGCCTCTAAGGCTGAGCGGGAGCTGGGCTGCGGACGGGGAGGACGTGATGCAGCTCAGACACGAGCTCGAACGCCATTTTGCTCTAATTGGGGTTGAATTTTATGGTTTTGGACTGAAACGATGCAAAATGTGGCTGGGGCTGAGTTTCTTCAAGACATTCAGCGCACGAACCTCAGGCAAACACTCCGCGCCTGCCGATTGCCAAGTAAAACCACAGATTTGTCTCCATCTCTACTTAACGTGGCCACAGGGCCGCTAATATTGGGACTTTTCTCTCACATAAGCTGATATCTGTCACTTAGCGGTTACAGAAGGTGGCCTGGGCATCGTGTCTTAAACGTCCCCTGTGTCCTGGAGAGCGAGGGAAGGCAGAGAGGCCCGATCAGGAGAGATGTGGTGGGTTTTTTAAAGCAAAGTACATTCCCAGCCTGCTCTGCTCCAGTAACCTGTGGATTTTTTAAAAGTCTCCTGTGGCAAAGACTGGATGGATGTTGCTGGGTCTGGTCTCCGAGAAGCTGTTGCGTTACCAATGGCCGTGGGACGATGCCGCAATGACGGGAGCTGCCACTTCTACAACATTCACATTTTTCCTTACTCTGTCCTAACACCGCCACGAAGGGGACACTGAAAGGGTCTTTAGTTAGACCTGGCCTTGAATAATTCCTCTGAATAATTCCATTTATTCCAATTTTCAGGCTGTTCTGGAATTGTTTCCGAAAGAAGGGAGGGGGGAGAAGTCAGCCAAACCTGATGAAGGAGGACATTGTTCTGAAGCTTTAGGGTATGGTACCAAGCAGGGCTTGCTATACAATTAATGAGTTAATCTGGCTTTTAGCTGCACGTGATGCACGGTGGCTGCCGCCACACCGCCCCACCACCACCACCTCTCATCCAGAGGAGCCCAGCTGCTCCTCAGCTTCGGTTTGCTGCTCCTCAGCTTCGGTTTGCCGCTCCTCAGCTTCAGTTTGCTGCTCTTTATCTTCGTTTCCCTTCCTCCCACGCATCATGGTGGCCTCCTCAGGCTTCTGACTTCGCCTCTGCCTTTATTTAAGCCTCGACCAACCCTCCCCAGGATGTGCTCAGTCCGTGGGGGGTGTCGAGCACATGGGGCTGAGCCATTGGGAGCGTTTCAGGCTTTGCTCTGAGTGAGCAAGAGGATGACGCAAATCGCTTTTTAAGGGCGCAAGATGAAACAGCTGCTCCATTCTCGCTGCAGATGTGCTGCGGGCGGGACGCATCCGCTCCGCCGAGGAGGGCTCACAGCCGTCCGCTTCCCCGCAGCGTCTGCGTGGGCAGGGCCACCGGGTTGCTGGGGTTCCCGGGGCACCCAAAAAGGGCGCCAGGTAGGGCTGGGAAGGGCTTTGGAGACGTGTGATGAGGTTTGTCATGCCAGCAGAGCTTCCCTGTCTCCAGAAAGCACCAGTCAAGAAATGACTTCTTTCCCGGAGAGGCGGTACAGACGGGGAGGTGGAGGCGCGTTACCTTGGGCTGCCCCGTTCCTCCTCCGAGAAATGCCGAGGGCCTGGGGAAGGTGACCCTCTGCAGCGTGTCCCCGTCCCCTCCGGCGGCCGCCCTGTCCCGGCCGTGGCGCGAGGGGGAGAAGCCGCGGGAAGCGAGGGAAGACACTTCCTTCGGCGACGGATCTGAGGTCACCTCCTGGTCCTTGATCCCTCCAGCCCGGGGTATTTGGGTCAGCGGGGAAGCACAGCTGAGAGCGACGTCCCTTCCTTATCTCTCCCTGGAGATTCATTTTTAAAGGAACAAATAGGCTTGGCCGCAAGTGCTACGCAGGACGATTTTTTAATGATGCTTTTTGGAACAATGAACTAAATAGCGGGGGGCTCTGGATCTGCGTCTCGGAGTGGTGACATTTTCCCCTGCTGTGTCTCACCTTCCTGTGCCCACCTTGCTCTGCTCCGCGGTGCCCAGAAACCTTTTTCTGCTCAGGAAAATACTGCCAAAAAAGGAGTTTTTCATCCTTTTGGGGTGGCCTTGCTGGAAAGAAAGCTGATCTGGTGCCTGGGACCCACCCGGACCGACCCCGGGGGCCTTGCCCACCTCTTGCTGCCGTGAACACGCAGACACGATCCTCTGGCACAGGGTCCCCGGCAGCGGTGTCACCCACCGCCGGGAGGACGTGGTGGCCAAGGCACAGCTGGTCCCAGAGCTCCTGCATCATAGGCACAGCTCGATGGTGCGGGGCTAGTGGGCAAACGCGTCACCTCCGTGGTTTTTACTCCACCCTGAGCCCAGAGTGAGCGGTGCTGGGGAGGGCGGCTCGGCTTTCCCGTGGCAGGGCCATAGGGCGGCTCGGCTCCACCGTGTCAGCCACATCTCCTGCATCACCGCTCCCCTTGGAGATCTTCAGCCGCTGTTGTTCCCCGTCCGTGTTGAAGGCCATGTTGCTTTGGACCTGCCACGGGCCAACAGTTTGGCTATCTTTGTTAAGTCAAGGTGGTAAGGAGCAATTTGGGGAGCTCTAGCTGGAGCTTTGCTTTACCCCCCTGTGCAGTCACGCGGTGGGAGAGCTGCTGGTGGGATGCTCTTCTTGGTCAACCTTTCTGCTCCAGCAAAGGGGCACCAGCCCCATGCTGGGCTCTTCCCATACCCCAGAGCATCCTTGGGACAACCGGGAAGGTCCCATCAAGCTCTGGAGGAATCCTGAGCTGCAGGTGGCCTGGGCTCAGCTCGCTGCTGGAGCAAGCAGCGAGGAGTGGGTGCGTGCGCCCGGGGGGTCACAGCTCCCCGGCTGCTGCTTTATCGCCTTCGGGAGGGGCTGCGGGTGGGAGCAGGGTGGCCTGGACGGAGCTGGTCTCCACGTTGGCCTTGCAGGGCCAAGCAGGGTCGGCAGAGAGGTGGCTCTCGGGGAAGGACAGCACGCATTGAGCCACCTCTACTATTGCCAGCCCCCAAATCAGGGGTCATCTTCACGCCCCCTCGCAAAAGGAGAGTGCTTTAAACGCCTTTTTGTAAATAAAAAAAGTGGTTTCTGAAGCCTTTGGTGTTTCTGTAAAGGCATGCCTTGGAGAGGGGGTTTCTTGGCCATCGCCAGCCGGGTCCCACCACGGCAGCTCCCAAGCCCGCCCCTACAGCTGGTATTTCCAGGAGGTGGCCGGACTTACGGCACCTCGAGACTTGATCAAGTCTTAACCTGACTCCTGTCCAAATCCTGCACAGCTCCTGAGCTCCTTCCAGCCCTGTCCTCAGCTGGATTCAGTCCATCGTTCCTTTTAGGATCTGCTTGATCGCACCGCGCGGCTGATAAGGCTTCGTGCCTCTTGTGGGGGCTTGTCTTCGTGCGTTTCAGCATCGCGCCCAGGTTATCAGCCACAGAGGTGTGGCTGGGCTAGGAATTAACCATCTCATCCAAACCCCGTGGAAATCAGAAGCAAAGATTCACACACCCCCCCTTTTTTTTTTTTTTCCTTTCCCCTGTGGGCTTTAAATCAAGTCGTAACTTCTCCAGCATCGGAGGAGCTGCCGAAGGGAAGCCCTGACTCGGGCTGGTTAAGCCCCGTCTGGTTTCCACCGGAGGAACGGCTGCCTCTCCCTTCACGTCCAGTGAAGTCCAGGAGAAACTTCAATACCAAAAATAAACCCTTCATCCCCTGGAGGGGACCCACGGGCTCTGTGTCGGGGCAGGGGGGCAAGTTTGGGGCTACACTTCACCCGAACCCCGTGTTTTTTTCCCAGCCCGTGGTTTTCTGCCCCGGCTCTCCTCCAGCCTCGCGGCGAGCCAGGCGAAGGGAGATCGCCGCCGTCGCGCTGGGGCTAAAACGGGGGTAAATTGTGCAGCCCGCCCTCGGGGGGCTGTTTCGGTGTGGATCACGCCGGGACTGGGGCCGGGGCCGAGGCCGAGGCGGCTTTCTCCTGCCCCCAGATTTTGCCGAGGTTTCCTTCCAGCGCTGGAGCTCGCCCAGCCCTCCCGGCTTCCCGGGGCTTCGCTGGGAAGCGCTGGGAAGACAAAACCCCGCTCTGGAAGTGAGGCTATTGTTCTTACTAATTTTAACTTGATGTTCTTCCCCAAGCCTATTTTTATTCATTGCTTGTGGTAAGCCCTTTCTCTAAGGTAGAGCAATTTGCCACGGGACTCTTTTTTGTGTGTGTGTGTGTGTGTTTACCGATTTTAATTGAGCGATATCTCCTTTTTACAAACCCAAAGCTGGAGGAGCTTTTAAGCGCCCGTTGCTGAGCCTCTCGCCCTCGGTTTGCTTTGATCTCCGCAGGTGAGTGTGCATTTTTGGGGCCAGAGATTGATACTGCTTATTTGCATGTAAATCTCCGGGTTATTAAGATCAGAATCTGGCCCTTTAAATTTAATACTTCGCTTTATGCTTTTATTTCCGCGTTTCTTAAAGTAATTTCCAAAAATAACAAACTTCAAACATGATGGGGCCATCTAACATTTTACTGCCTTGGCTGGAGTAGAAGGAACATTTCTGGAAGTATATTATCCAATTTAACGAGCCTTTCCCATCTTGGCTTTGCTCCCACCCCTCACCCCCTCTTGGAGTTGTTTTGGACGGCTCTTTGGAGCCGTGCCACCTAATCCTATTAGAAGGACTTTCATTACACTGCGCCTTGTGTTTATAACCAAGAAAATCAGCCGGAGAGGGGGGTCCTCTCCCTCGCCCTCGCCCTTTTTCATTTCGCCTGGCGTCGAGACGAGAGCCCGGCGAGTCCCATGAGGTTCCCGCGCAGTCTCCGCTTTCCTTTTTATTGCTTCGCTTTGCATTTATTAAGGAAGACTTTGGAGTAAATTGGGTCCTTGCGAACTTATAATTAATTTGGAAGGGTCATTTTTTCCCAGGCTAGTGGGGGCTTCTTTGTGTGGTCCTTTTTGAAAGGCAGAGGTTGGAGAGGCCGTTACATAGCCGGGATTTGCTTTTAATAGGGACCTGGCTATTTTCTGAAAATCTCACGGCTCTTGAAGGACGGGTTGTTGTTGTGCGGGGCTGTGCTAAAAGGGTTTGCAGAGCGTCCATTTCAGGTGCAAAGTAAAAAAAAATGAACCCAAAAAAGGAATAAAAACCAGCAAGGAGCGTGCCTCCTGGGGTCTGCGCCGGGCAGGTCGCGCTCGGCAGCCCAGATCCAGTGCCTGAAGCTGGGGGATGCTCCGGGAGGTCCCCTCGCTCAGGTGCCGGATAGAGCTGGGATCCCCTTGTCCGTCCATCCGTCCTGCCTCCCCCCGCTCCCTGCCAAGGGGCCCTCTTGCTTCTTGTCGGAGCTGGTAGACTTGAGATTTTTTTCCTTACCGCATTGCGTTTCTTGAAAGCCTGCCTCTCCTCCTCAAAATAGTCACAGAAACCGGTCAAGAGAGAAGGTGGAGGGCAGGGAGAAGGTGACAGGCTGAAATAATCTGCGAATAATAAAAGTTCCTGGAAAAGGACAGCCGGCCAGACAGTGGCTTTCTCCACAAGTGGGTCGGACGGAGGCATGAGATGACGGCCCCGCTTGGGCATCACCCGGGATGTAAAAAAAAACGTGTGGATGTGGCACTTCAGGACATGGTTTAGGGGACACGGTGGCGCTGGATTAATGGTTGGACTTGATGATCTTGAAGGTCCTTTCCAACCTAGTGATTCTGTGATTCTGTGATTCTGTAATCTAACCTAAGCCGGCACAACCCCTCTGTCTCCCGTCAGCCCAGCTGCAACGAGAAATCCCCGCTGAAGGTGGGGCGAGGGGGAGGCGAGGCGGTCCTGGCTCTGGGGAGTGGGGGGCCGTGACGGATGAGTGTGGAAACGCAGAGCTAGAACGCGCGGTATGCAACTCTTCATAGCCAAAGCCGGGGAGCGGAGGGCTCCGAGGAGCTCGGGGGGCTTTTGGCCGTGGCGACGTCCCCTGTGGAAGTGCCATCAGCGGAGGCGTCATTACACGCCCAGCGAGGGCCGTGAGAAAAAAGCGTTGAAAACTCCCTAGGACACGTCTGAACCCGGCGGAGGGGAATAAAAGGAAAACCCGGCCATGCCTCCGCCGCACGGGCGAACAGCGAGACGCTGCCTATCGCACCCGGAGCGGCAGTGGCTGACGGGGCACCCTGAAGCTGGCGGGCAGCGCGAGCGGTAACCATGCTCGTGACGCGCCGCAGCGTTCGTTAACGTGTGTGGTGGGCCTGCCTCTCTGCTGAGACCGCCTTCAAAGCTGGGGCCGGTCCCTGGTTGTTCTCCTCCGGGCACCCACTTGCGGTCCCGCCCTGACCATCGCCTTTCTTCTCTCTCTCCCTAGCATGGGTCGGCTCCTTGGCCATGGGCATGATTTTTTTCTGCTCTCCCATCGTCAGCATCTTCACCGACCGGCTCGGCTGCAGGACCACGGCAGCCTCAGGAGCTGCCATCGCCTTCATCGGACTCCTCTCCAGCTCCTTCACCAAGTAAGGCTGCAGAGGGGCCATGCCAGCTCCTCGGCGAGCTCCTCTTCCTCACTGTTCCCTGCAACCCCCCCGCCTACACGTCGCTGCTCCCTTTTGGGGCAAAGCAGGTGGTTTCCACCCAGATAAGAGGTGTCCTGGCATCCCTACAGCCCACGTGCAGCCCACGTGCGCTCAGCCCGTTTCTTTCCAAATTGAACCAAGTTGCTCTTTTGTCCTGATAGAACAAGGGAGCAGATTTTACCTGAACGAGGGACTTTTTGTTTCATGGGATTTCAGCCCTCGGGTCCTTCATTTCATCTTTCAAGCAGGCAAGCGAGAAGTTGGTGTGCCTCTCGGCAGGCAGCTCCAAAGAGACGCTCGTGGACAAAACCTTCGCAAAAATTTCACATTTGGTACCGGGAGTAAATTAATGCTTAAAATATTATTTGATGGGTTACACCTGGCAAGAGGGAGTTTCCATGTGGGGCGGACGGGGAGGTGGAGGCAGGACGGGGCTTGGAGCAGTTTGTGCTGTTCCTGCGCCGGCTCGGGCGTTTGCGGCAGTGCGGGGCCGTTGCTGCTCCTCGTTTTCCACGGCAGATCCCAGGCCGTGAATTCCTGCT